AAAAAAAAAGAATTTTTTTAGTGGAATTTAGTGGAATACTATTTAAAAAGAATCAGAAAGCACTGGAAACCTGAAGGTTTCAGGTAGGAAAAGGTAGAAGAGGAATCGAAACCAAGACTTTCACTCTTGAACCATTTTACTACAAAACACCGCACATCGATGCTCCTCTCAGATCTTTGCTGTCCTGTCTCACCCGTCTTGAAATCTCTTTGTTTCCAGGTCCAATTTCAGAAGCTTCAGCAGCTCCGCCTTACGCAGTACCACGGAGGATCCTTACCAAACGTGAGCCAGCTGCGGAGCAGCGTGCCAGAGTTCCAGGTACCTCCAGATACTTCCTTTCTTCAGGCTGAAGCGAGTGTAAAAAAAAAAAAAAAAAAAAAAAAAAAAAAGATAGATAGAGGTTGTCCTTACAAAGATGAGATCTTGAAGGAACTGCAAGTTCAGTGTTCTTCTGGGAAGTTGACCATTCTTTTTCCTAGTTCCTGCAGCATGAGATAGTGTTATCTCACGGGCCAGCGGTCTAAGGCTGCCCTGTCCGGTAGAGACATGCTGTGAGCCACATGCGTAATTCAAACCTTTCTAGGAGCCACGTTAAAGAAAGAGAAACAGGTGTCATTAATTTCAGTATTGTTTAAATGACTTAGTTATTTAACCAGTATATCAGAAATGTCACGTCAACACAGAAGCAGCACAACAAACACAAAGGAGATATGTCACGTTCTTTTTTAAATCAGTCTTTGAAACCTGATGGGTGCTGTATGCTTACAGCCCATCTCCGTTCAGACTCGCCATAGTTCACTGCTTTCATGTGATGGTTTTCGGCCGTCTTGGACGGTACGGACCTAAGGCACAGATACGTGGTGTCTTTTGCACTTAGATTAGTGCAAGGTCATAGGGTGCTCCATCACTCATATCCAGTGGAGAGTCTTGTACAGAACAACGTGGAATTGATACTTCAGACAGTAGTGTGGGATGCTGTTGTTAAGATCCAAGTGAGAATTACTTAGGTACCCTAGTCTCTGAGAAACCAGAAGAAGCCTGTCGTTCCAATTAGACAATTTAAGATTTGGTGTTCAAGTTGGGATATAAACTTTAAGACAGAGCATACGTTGATTTATTTGAGCGACTCCCATTTTCAAAGTGCTGTCGTCTTTCTTTGTTGTAAAAGCCGGGCTCACTTGTTTGATGATGTCCCATAAGGCAAAATTATTCTTTAAAATGGAGACTTCCATTTGATCAAATGGGAGTGCTAATAGGAGTTCTTAAATATAATGGTTATTAGAAAAAGTATAATATGATCATATTTGTGCCTTATTACACTGGAGTCTTGTCTTTACCATATTGATATGGAATCTCACTATAGTGTTGCCTGTATTTTGGGATCTGCCTCTATAGATCACATGCTCTTCTACATGGGCCTACTGGATCATTCGGTGTTCAGATAAAGTAGATCTCTGCTTTATGCTGGATTTCTGGCTTCTGAAATCGTCTTTGTCAAGGTTTGCTGTGTTTGAGATCCTGATTTTGTGGTACTTTGTAGTCAACTTCAGAGGAATATAGAACTTCCCATCCTGCCCCTGCCCTGTTGCAAAGGGGAATGAATGGGATGAACTAACAGCCCTTGACCCTCTCAGGATTCTTTCTTTGGATACTTTCATTGCTTTGAAACAATCACAAATTTACAGAAAAATTGGAAGTTCAGTACAAATAACAAAAAAAAATTTTTTTCATGTTTTTATTTTATTTTTGATATATATATAGAGAGAGAGAGAGCGAGTGTGTGCGCAAGCGGGGGAGGGGCAGAGAGGGAGAGGGAGACACAGAATCCGAAGCAGGTTCCAGGCCCTGAGCTGTCCGCACAGAGCCCGATGCGGGGCTCAAACTCATGAACCGTGAGATCATGACCTGAGCCGAAGTCCGAGATTCAACCCACTGAGCCACCCAGGCGCCTGCACTTTTTTATTTTCTTTTTTTACCCCTTGAGAGACTAAGTTGTGAACCTGATGCTCTATCAGCCCAGAGTATTTCACTGTGTATTTTCCTGTAAGCAAGGACGTCGTCACTCATAACCCAAACAGAGCCATCAAAATCAGAAAATTAACAGTGGAATGTTATTACCGCCTGATCCATAGACCCCGTTCACATGTGGTTTCACTGCATGGCCTATTACGGCCCTTCCTAGCAGGATCCAGTTCAGAATCACATGTGTTTAGTTATTGTCCTCAGTCTCCTTCAGTCTAGAACGGTTTTTCAGTCAGTCTTTTATCTTTGACATTAAAAATACGTTTTTTTTTGTTTGTTTGTTTGTTTTTTACTTTTGTGATCTGGCCACTTTTGAAGACCATTAGCCAGGAATTTTGTAGCATGTCCCTCATTTGGGGCTTGTCTGATGTTTCTTTGTGATCCAAGTCAGATTATGCGTCTTTGGCAGGAGTGGCACAGAATGATGCTGTTAACTGTGTCCCCTTGAGTGGGTGATTTTCTTTCGTCCTACCACTGATGGTGTTCACTTCTATCAGTTAAGGTGGAGTTTGTCCCATGCCTCTTTGCATTAAAGTTACTCGTCCCCTTTGTAATGAACAGACGCTTTGTGAGGAGATACCATGTCCTGCTCCTTATCAGGCTTCCTTACATCTTTTTATTTATTTCTGAATATCCAGTTTTGCGGCTTCTTTAATTCAGTGGGTTAGTCTGTAACTATTAGTTACTTTGATGCCCGTATCATCCCCGGTTAGCCCCGTAGGAGCCTTCTTCCCAGGATTCTTGACAAATTGAGAAGAAAAAGGAATCCTAGGAATACAGATTTTAAAAGAAAACAGGTTTGTTTTAAGTAGGCTCCACACCCAGTGTGGGGCTTGAACTCATGGCCGGGAGATCAAGAGTCACGTGCCAACCAGGTGCCCCCAGATTTTTTTTTAAGTAAGCTTTTTTGAGGTGTAATTTGCCTACAATACGATTGGCCTATCTCAGGCATACAGGTCTGTGTTGTATAATCACCACCGTAGTCAAGATACAGAAGAGTTCCATCATCCCCCAGAAGTTCCTTCATGTCCCTTTGTAATCTGGCTCCACCCCCCACCTCCAGCCCCTGGAAACCACTGCTCTGCCGTTTAGCCTGTCCCAGCGTGTCCTATAAAGGGAATCAAAAGTGTGTAATTTTACAAGCTCTTCTTTCACTGAGCAGATCGCATTTGGGAAGCATCCACATTGTTGCATGAATGAGTTTACTAGAGCTGCCATGAGCTGGGGGGCTTACGACAGCAGAAGTCTAGTCTCTGAGGCTGGAAGTCTGAGATCAGGGTGTCGGTCGGGCCCTGCTCTCGGAAGGCTCCAGGGGAGAATCCTGCCTTGCCTCTTCCTAGCTTCTGTTGGTTCCTCGGTGTCCCTTGGCTTGCAGCTGCTCACTCTAGCCTCTGCCTCCTTCCCTCTGACCTTCCTGTTTGTAGGTGTCTCTGTGTCCAAAGCTCCCTCCCCCTTCTCTTTTAAAGACACCAGTCCCTGGATCAAGGGCCCACTCTAATCCAGTATGATCCCATTGTAGTCTGATTTTATCTGCGAAGATTCTGTTTCCAAATAAGATCACATTCACAGGTACTGGGGATTCGGGCTTGAGCATATCTTTTCAGGGGAACATAATTAACTCCCTGCATTGCGTTTATCTGGAGTTTATTCCTTTTTATTGCTTTCTATTCCATTATATGGGGGCGCTAGGGTTCCGTTATCCTCTCATCAGTTAACGGGCGTTTGGATTATTTCCACGCTTTGGCACTTGTGAATAAAGGTATTCACGTATAGTTTTTGTGTAAATACCTAGGAGTGGAACTGCTGGGTGACATGGCACTTGCGGCTTCAACCTTTTAAGAAGCTGCCAAACCGTCTTACAACGTGCCTGTGCTGTTTCACATTCCCACCAGGAGGTACAAGAGAGAGCCCCAGTGGTTCTGCCCTGCTTTCCAGCACTTCGTACTCCAATATTTCAGGGGTTTGTTTTTTGATCGTGGGAAAAACACAACATAAAATTTACCATCTTAACCATTTTTAAGTGTCCAGTTCGAGTACAGTGTCATCTATACAGTGTCAAGTATATTCACATGGTTGTGCAGCCAATCTCCAGAACATTTTCATGTTACACAACTGAAGCTCTGTCCCCATTAAACCACCACTCCCCGCTCCCTCCTCCCCGGGGCCCCCGTAACCACCACTGTCCTTTCAGCCTCTGAATTTGAGTGCTCCGGGCGCTTCGTGTCAGTGGAATCCTACAGTACTTGTCTTCTCCCGACTGGCTTATTTCACTTAGCAGGTGTCCTCAAGGCTCATCCGTATGGTAGCACGTGACAAGACTTCCATTTTATTCAAGGCACGGTAGCATTCCATCGTATGTATAGACACATTTTGTTTATCCGCTCACCCGTCACGGACATTCGGGTTGCTTCTACCTCTTGGCTACTGTGAATAACGCCACTGTGAACATTGGTGTGAAAACGTTTCTTAGAGACCCTGATTTCCGTTCTTCAGGGTGTGTCCTCAGAAGTGACCTTGCTGGATCAGATGGTAATTGGATTTTAAATATCTTGAGTAACAGCCATACCATTTTCCACCGTGTCCGCACCATTTTACGTTCTGCCCAGCCGTACACGAGGGTCCAGTTTGTCCACATCCTCGCCAACACTTGTCATTTTCTGTTTTTGTTTGTTTAATAGCGGTCGTCCTAATGGGTGTGAGGTGATGGAAGTTCAGTTTAAAAGATTTTTGTCGTTCTAGTGCATGTGTTGTGCTGTGCTGTCTTCTTCTTATTATTTCTTAATGTTTATTTTTGAGAGAGAGACAGTGAGAGTGCAAGCTGGGGAGGGGCAGACAGAGGAGGGGACAGAGGATCTGAAGAAGGCTCCCTGGGCTGACAGCACAGAGCCCGCCACTGGGCTTGAACTCGCCAACCATGAGATCACGACCTGAGCTGAAGCCAGATGCTCAACCAACTGAGCCGCGCAGGCGCCCCAAACTTTTGCCTAATTTTTCACTTGAGTTGCTCATTTCCCTATTACTGAGTTGTGAGAGTTCTTCATGTTTGGATGCCGTTTCCTTGGGAGATATGCATTTGCAGCTATTTTCTCCCTGTCTGTGGCTTATCTTCTTTTCCCAACAAAGTCTTGCAAAGCAGAAGTTTTTTTTTTTTTTTTTTTTTTTTTTTTTTTTTTTTT